CCAAGAAACTAAGTCTTCCTTTCCACCCTCTCAAGTCCACACACTCACCTGGGACCTCATACCATGCCCTTTACAACATCATGTCAAAAGAGTTTCTCACATTTTAAAAATATATCGTTTTTCTCCTTCTTTCTCTATTATTTGCATGCTCAACATCACCCACATGTTAAGATATGGGAAAAAAATATAATTCTGCTTCTCGGTATGACGTTCTTCACACAGGAAATTGAAATAATAGCAAAGTTCTACATATAGTTTTCCAAAACAAGTATCTTCAAGAGTTAATGATGGCTTCTCCAGGGATTTTTATGCTAGGCTTGTACATTTCAAAAGCAAACTCAAAGCCAGCACAAGCTCCAGTGAGTCGCACGGCAGGAGACCTGCCAGAGTTGTATCAAGGAAGAAGGGAAATCAGGGGTAAATATCTTCCAGTTCTGTCAGAAGATGGAAGCAAAATCACCATGGAAACCAAAAATATTTAGTTAGTGGTTTAAGGACAGATATCTAGATAAATTATTAATAATAATCTTAGGCACAGAACAGGGAAAATCTTACATAGGATAAACACGGGTTGTGACTTTAATTCTAGGATTCCTTAAGCCAGCTAAGGCCAGAGCCCCATGCTCTGAATATCACTGATAGGTGTCCTCTCTGTCACCTCGTTGGCCACCTCTGAGTGACCCACTTCAGAGCTCAGAGTTATTTATTCACCTCAAGACCACCCATAGAGTCAGTCTACAAACACCAGCTGTATTTCCTGAGGTAAAAATGTTCAGCTCTTGTTCAAGTATTCAGAATGACCAGTTCTCATGCTCTAAGTAGCTGGAGCCTCGCTCTCCTCCTGGCTTTAAGAAAGCTGCAGGTGTCTGAAGAGTGGAGCCGTCAGACTTATCCTGGGTTCTGTGTCAGATGTGCCTTGGGATTCCTGAGCCTCTCTTGATTCCATGGAGTTTAAAGTCCCACTTTGAGCATAACAGTGTGATAGAGCTCTGAACTGACGAATTGCTTCTGCGCTGCACAATCCCATGTGGTAGTCCTGGCCACGTGTGGCCAGCAGGCACTAGAAATGTGTTTAGTGCCACTGCAGAGCTGAATTTTAATATAATTTCAATTAACTGAAATTAAAATTAAAACCACATATGGCTGGTGGCTATTTTACTGTGCAAAGTGTGTTTGGAATATCATAAATACTCTACTAAAAATCAAAGACAAAAAATTTTTAAGAAACCAGTGAAAAGTACTCCGAAGAGAGTAGACACCTATTTTCTGTACCTAAAGGACATCAGGAGACAATAAAACACACCAAAATGAAAAAAATTCGAACTTAATATTCTTGGCTCATAATTCTGTCCCTCAAAAATGGAGGTGATTCTGTTCTGCGTCTTACTTTAACACAGAAACGTCATGGGAGACGAATGAGTGCTGGCCATTGGACTCGACTGGCCTTGAAGTTTTGGGGACTCTGAGCTGTTGTTGGTTTTCTCATGCCGTAAGTCATCTTCTCATTCCAATGTCTTCCATTTATTTTGGGAAAGGGTGATTTACTAATCCTGACACCGTGTTCTACCATCCAGTTTTATTTACTAGATTATATATTTCTTTGTTTTATTTTATCACTACATTTCTGGAAACTTTTGAACATTAACATCTAATAATTGTATGTTAGGCTGAAGGAGGAGCAGCACAAGCCTTGCCTAGCCTGGAAATAGCAACTTAGCAAGATCCCATCTCAAAAATAAAAGGCTTGTGTTTGTTTTTTTTTAAAGCTCTGAGTTCACTCTCTAGTACTGAAAACCAGTCAACTAACCAACCAACACAAATACCTAAACTAATGATTGAAACAAACATTTACTGGGGGTAAGCATCCAAAACTTTTATAGTATCCCTGAATTTTATAAGATATCTAAATCTGAATATAGTTTTTAGAATTTTAGAATGCAAAGATGCCTTAAAACAATTCATACACTTAATACATCTATTAAAGATGTTCAACCTCAGAAAGATTAATGGGCCTGTTCAAGGTCCCACAAAGGACTGGAGCTAGGGCAAAAACCTAGATCTTGCTCACTTATGGTTTTCTCTATGATGTTATCTCAGAAAAGATTCTATATACCCTGTACCCAGCAACAGTATGCCCGTCTCCTTAAGCCCCCATTAAGTTTGGCAACAGTCAACTTTGTGGCTTTCTAAATCTATTTCTAGTCTTTACTAGAGTATAAAAAGAACATTTCCCAGCCAATCAGGAAACCTGGATCCTTATATCAGCTGCTGTCGGGTGAACCAAGGTCCTTGATGGCATCTCCTGCCCTGCCCCCACTCTGCATGATTATTGTGAAAAGTAAACGACATAAAATGAGCAGACACTTAAGGAGGCACTTGAATTTAGTTATGACTCTTGAATTCTGTCATCCAATTTAAAGTATTTTGGGTTACTCTCTGTTTCTTACTTCAGCCATTCGCTGTAAGAAGCCGACTTAAGGAATCTGTCAGACAACAGTCAAGTTTGCCTTAACTGTCACCATGACTGAGTTGTTCTGAGTGAGTGCTGTGTAGGAATGAACAGCGGAGAGTCAGCCGAGTACAGAAACAGCCAGGGAGCCATCTGTCCATCCCATGCAGACAGGCAGACATGGTCTACAGGGTAGAGGCCCATTGTGAATGGCTAGCAATGCGGCTCAACTACTTGCTGAATTGAAGCATTTTTAAACATGACCACTAATAGCTTTAATATATAATTATTAGTTTTGGGTAAACACAGGACCCAGCAGAAAAATAATTAAAATTATTTACATATGTAGATTCTGTCTGCACTCTCTCCCTCCATACCCTCAAGCCCAAATGGCCAGGAATTGGCTGCCTCTGGTCACAAAGCAGCTTGAGCAGCTGTTTGGCGTTCCGCGTTTGACTCCTTATCATTTGGCAGATGGAGATCTCTTGCTGAAAGCACCATTTGGAATGTTTCTCCCCCAAAGTGGTATTTTTCAACATGGAATTTTGAAATAAGAGTGAGGCACTGCTAAACATTCACACAATAATACTGCCAGGAGGAAGTTTGATAGACTGATGTCAAAAGCTTAACTTTCTGCCAGATATGTTTAGGGGTTCTCTTCCCACTGACTGGGGGTGGGGAGGACATGACAGAATGTGATGTGAGATCCCTGAAAATGTGCATATGGGAGCCAATCCTAAACAGACGTCTTGGTGCCCACTGTAATCTCAGCGCTCTGGGAGGCTGAGGCAGGAGGATGGGATGTTCAAACCAAGGACAGTTATCTTGGCAATTGGTGATCCCTTCTCTCAAAAATCAAAAAACTGAGGCCAGGGATGTAGCTCAGTGCAAAGGCCTTAGGTTCAATGTATAGTACCACAGAAAAGAAATGACGGTGCTAGCTTTAGACGTCGGTCAGGACGGAGAGACTCAGCCATGAATACGGACAGTCCCTATTTGGGGGGCTTCAACTTCTTTTCTCTTTTTTTAACTTTAAAATGGTGAGAAGGAAAAATGAATTCAGTAAAAAATGTGCTTTATATTACGACTTTGGATCTCCTCCCAGGCTACTCTGTGGTGTGAGCCTGGATCACGTTGCTGCTCAGGGCAGAGAGCTACAGATCTGAGGTAGCCACGCAAGCGCAGAGTGGATGACCTAAGGTGTGCGGTGCTGTCGCCTGCATGTGTGCGTGTTGTGTTCTGTGCCATCACGCCTCATTGTGTCCACAAGGTGCTTATGTGTGTCTCCTCCCCCATCTGATCTTCTGTCCTTCACTTTTAGTCCACTGTGTAATCTCAATAAATCACATGAGTTCTATACCACTTCACTATACATGGGCTTTGCATGAACTGGGCCCCACTGTGGTCTAGTGTAAGTATTATGGGAATATTTAAGGTAGGTTAGGCTAAGCTGTGGTGTTTGGAAATCCATGTATATTACATATACTTTCTACCATGATTTTTTCAACTTATGATAGGTTAATTAGGGCCTAACTTCATAGTTAGATGAGGAATACGCATTTAAGTCCATAGGATGAAAGAAGGTAAGCCACATAAGGATGGTGGCACAAGTTAGGAAGCTATAAGAAAAGGGTATCAGGGACTATAAGAATTACTGGATCAATATTTGGATATTTGAGAAGAGATAAATATAGTATTTACTGGTATTATTATCAGAATTGAGAATAATGAAAATAGTTCATGGTTAGAGAGTAGCGCAAATGTTAGCAATGTTTAATCTTTAAATACAATTTATGTATTCATTTTGACAATCATATAAGATAACCAACACTTTTAACTCAGTTTGTGGAGGGTAAAGCCAAGCCATAGAGAATTTAGGTAATTTTGTCAAGGACATGTAGATAATATGGTAGTCATGGCTTGATCAGTGGTTCAAAGCTAATGCATACTTCTAAAATCTTAACTACAAGATTAAAAAAAAATGATGGGGTACCAGAACACTTTTGGATTACACACACGTCTTGCCTTCCACATAGCTGAGAAGCCAAGAAGCCCAGGTGTCACTACTCCAAAAGGCCCCCAAACAGGTGCGAAATCCTCCACTGCCTTCTGCAGCAACGCTGCACCACGGCTGACAACTTCTTTTGATTTGATCCCTTTATGTAGATTTTGTGTCTTCTCCACAAATTGCTGTCTTCTCTTGAGAGCAAAGTGGACCCAGGACACAGGTGTCCTCAAGGTCTCCAGGCCTCTTTAATCATAGCCCTCCTCATTGTCAAGAAAATCTCTTTCTATGCAAAATTAGTCACTGACTTTCCAATTCAAACCCATTTCCCCTTCTCTGATCTTTCCTGGAGATAGGAGACGGATGAAGGTAGTTAACATTCTAATCACTATGGGTTTTTCTTTCCATTTAATAACTCATTTAAAAGTACTTCTGCTAAATCCCATTTTTAAATCTCTCTGACACTAATTACTGATACATTCAATCTTCTTGACAGGCCTATTTTGCCATGTTAAATGTACTTCGGCAGCGGGGTTTTCACCTTACCTCTCCGTTTTCCAAAGGGTGGATCTTGGAATAGAAGGAAGTGCAGATGACCTCGTCGTCCTTGGCGTAGGATGGTGGACCTGTGCGAGGATAAATGCTGTAGCGGGTCAGACACTCCGTGTCGGTCACAGCATGATATTGCCAGGGCTTGTACTCAACGTTGTCCAGTGAGCGCTCCAGAATCCAGTTTCCAGGACGAGGGGAGTTGGCTGCCTTGACAATCACGTAGGCAATCTGGAACACCTGGGGAGAAGCAGACACAGCAAGGCTTTGAGTTGCAAGGAGTCTTCCCAAGTTCCTATCAGACTCTATCTAAGGCTAAATGCTAGAAGAGACTTTGCTTCTGATTTTAGATAATAACCCTGTCAGGTTGGGTGAACTGATTTTGCTAATTCATGCTCATATTTAGTAACTTTTTTCCATGAAAAATATTTCATTAGATACCCATGACTTTAAAAACAAAGAATTAAAGATAGATCTTAATTTTCTAACAATAATTGGCATAATCTTATCTAATTTTGAAAGGTCCATTGTAATAATAAGCACTGAAAACCTTTGTTATGTATGAATTTACTGATCTTAGACATTAGGGACAATCAAATGGGCAGTGGAAATTAGATATGTGAACTGTATTTCAGAGTCTTGCAAACATGCTTACAATATCACTCGATCTTTTGAAAGCACGTTGTAGGTGGACTTCCTGTACTACAGCAAAAGCAACCAAGGGCTTTAGAGGCAAAATCTGTGCTCAAATTGTGTGGTCACCTTTTATGTGAACCTGGGAAGATTGCTTTTTCAACTCTTATATGCCTTTCCTCTAAATTAAGGTCAAGAATGAGCACATGGCTTAGAGACAGTTTGGATGAAATGAGGTGACATGCAGAGTACCTGGCAAAGAACTGGGCAGTAAACATAAATGCCCATTTGTTTACATCCGCAAATAGAAATAATGGTGAAGAAATTCCAGTGAAATTCAGACAACTGATTGCAACTGGAACATGCTAAATAAAGGGCCTCTGCACTTTTTCTCTACAAGAGAAAAGTATGTCAAAAAAGAGAGAGAGATAATTTCTGTAAGTCTTTAGTGACAATTGGAGAGAATGTAGCAATCTTCTGTTTTCAAAACTTTACAGAATTTGAGGGAAAGAGAAATTTCCTGGATGCTTCATGACAGTGCCAATGTCATTCTGAGGTCCAAAAGAATAAGGAACAAGCATCACTGGATGGCATTTACATGCAATGAGCTGGATAGAAATAAACACACACTACCTTCAATTACTGTCCCATCACAAATGAGTTGATAATATGTGGTATAAACAAGGCATGCAAAGTACAATTGTACTGGAGCAATAGGATCTGTCCTTGATCAGTAAATGTTGTAAGACTTGGAGAGCTTGACAGCTCTGAGATCTGGGGCTGGGGTTCCCTGAGAGCATAACCAGAAGGACAACTGGTGGAAAAGACCACTCCACTCCCAAGTGATTAGAGGGGTGTTGTGACACAAAGGGACTCCTCCCAGGAAAGCCCCAGAAGTCAACTCTCTGACTTACTATTCTGAGATGAGATCTGTATGAGTTCATGCACAGCACCTGCGGTATATTCCACAGGGCTGAATTGAAAAATATGAAAAGAACATCAACATATAAGGAATTACACGAGTGACTGTGCCCTTAATCCTCTGACAGCTTGATGAGAATGAGGGCACATGCTGAGTGAGTGGAAGGGGAATCATTTGCTTTCAAAAGATTGCAGTTGGGGCCAGTATTTACCTCTTGGGCACAGATGAGAAACGCTAAGAGCTAAAATAGTGAAATAGCTTGTGTGATTGTCAATAAACCACTGTTGACTGATGTCCCAAACACTTCTCCCTCTTTGAGCTCCTCTGGTTAATCCTGGTAGATACAGGAAGAGCCATGACATCTTCTTCTATTTGTATAAGCCAGGCATCACAAACCTTTTAGAGGTTTCAACAATAACAGTCAACTAAAGCATGTATCCTATAGGCTCGTCAACACTGGTATAGGCTTTGGCTACTCTGTTTTGATGAAAACCATTGCAGATGGAAAATATGGATGAGTTTACATTTATGGGGGCATATAGATTAGTATCAGATGCAGACATGCATGTTCTATATGGGCATGCCAATGGTGGAAAATGCTGAGACATTTGGAGCAAAGACAATCATGGACATACTAAAGCTATCAAAGCTGGAGTTGGAAAATGAGGAGTCAGAACAGAGAGCTTTCACTTCATCCTAATATCTTGCTACATTATATACATTAATATGAAGGTCTTATTTTATAAATAAAATTATTTTTAATTAAAAATGATCATCAGAGGGACAAAGGGGGAGTAAAATAGGACATTCTCAATCACTATGATGTTTTAAATATTTATCACAAGAACAATTCTTTTCATAGTTTAGATTCTACAACCTAGCATGTGACACTATCTTATAAGGAGATTCACTTATACCAACTGGATAATGGATTTGGAATGCACAGACAGAATAAAACTGGCTGGTGCTAACTGTGTGCGATCCCAATGTATTCCTGGCAAGATCCTAAAACAACAAAGAAGTTGCATATCTGAGCCACTATATGGCATGGACTACAGCTCTTACATCATTATATGTACGACGGGCCTGCTTAGAGTCGTTTGAAATTGTGGGTAATTCATGCCTTTCAGACTTAGGTGAATAATCAAAGCCACTGTAATGTCCTTCCGCATTGCTTCTGTTACTTGAACACTGCCCATTTCTCTTTTTATTAGAATTTCAATCCTAGTCCACATCAGCATATTGTGATTTGCAGGAAGTAATCCATAGATTTTCTTAGTGTCCTTCCTATAATGCCTCCATGCATTGAGAAAATTACTACTCTCTTATTCTTTTAATGTTTCTTTTCCAAAACCAAACCACAGAAGAGATCATAAGGTCATGAACACAAAATGCTGCATGTTGCTTGGAAGAGAGGATCGGTGAGTATGTGTCAGTGGATTTCCTTGCAGAAAAAAGAAATGCACAAAGGTAGTTTTTAAAAGATAAAAAACAGGGGCTGGTGAGATAGCTCAGTAGAATAAGCACTCGCCTGGCAAGCACAAGATCCTGAGTTCAATCCCTGGTACCACACACACACACGAAAAGATAAAAAACCGAAGAAGCACAACAAAACCTGAGCTCACAGGCACTCAGAAGAGTAAAGATACTGGAAGCTTATGGGTAGCGAGCTGGTGTAGAAAGAACTCAGTAAGAAGATACAGAAAGACAAGATTCGCTTGGAGCCACAATTCCAATTTATGATTTAGGAGCTTCTGGTTTGGCTGTAGAATAATAGATGAAAAATAACACAAAGAGTTCTACAAGAAACCCACAGACTTCTTCCATAATTTAATATAACAGCCAGCATTAAGTGACTCAGAAAACCAGCCCCTCCTGTAGAAAGCATTAAGGAGTCCCAGTTCAGTACAATATCCCTCTGTCATTTATTTTCTGTGCATTCTTTCACATAGCAGGCAAAATTAATTACATTTGTTGGCATGTAGCATTATGAATAAACTTTTTCAAGTGTTGTAAATAGCGTTATTAAAAAAAAAAAAAACACAATGAACAGAGTTTTCTTTGAAGGCTTCCGAGAATGACTGTGAACATTTTAACAGTGATTTTCTAAGTACTACAAATTTTCAATGGCCCTGATAAAATAGCTCTTTAATGTTATCTCTGCCACTTTTATTAACTGTCTCTTGTATTTTCAGTACAAAGACTTATCAAAATCGAGAGTTTTAATACCTTATTTGCAGATGAATAAAACTCTCATCTCTTATTGGGTGCAACAAGGAAAGCAACCACACCAGTGAAAGAAGTTCTAAGTTGCTAGGATTTAATGAACCCAACATACCAACACGTTAGGTGCAAATGCTTTCTTACCGAAGACACTTTTCATCAAGTTGATGCCTGAAAAACATCTCAAATCACTGTTAAAATAACACTAAATGTCTGAAATTTTTCTACAACAAGGGGGAACTCATAGTTCCCCTTCCATCTGTAGCACATATACATGTCATCGGAAAAACCATTATGCAATTGCTCTATATCTGCAGCACTGAGGAACAAGTATTAACACCTTGCTCTCCTCTGTTGTCCAGTTAGAGAATAGTCTTTCAGAAGGATATTTCAGCCCCAAAGTAACCTACAGTGGTCCCCGCCACATGGGGCAAGGCTTTGCCACCCTTCACACGACATGCCTAGGTAAAATGGTGCTTTTCAGCATTAGGAGCAAGAAGTCTTCACTGCCTGAAGTCACCAAGGAGCCCTGAGCATCTGAGACGCTGCCCTGGGACAGGCACATATAGCCCATGTGGCTAAGTTTTATAAGAAGGACCCATGTCTAGCACACACATTGCTGAATATAGGTTTAAAAAATAACCTGCTCAGGATCCCCTTTGTGTCATTCCCTTTGTCTTCAGAAGAAGTACTGATGTGAGAACTTCAAGAGTCATTGACATGTAACTAAAAGACTTGCATAAAGCACAACTCCTTAGTGACATAACAAGGTCATAGGACCTCTATTTTCTATGTGTTTATCTCTGTACAAGCCATAAAACTATTAATGAGGAGCCTGGGTGTGGAAGACTACACTTTACTCCTTTTTTTAAAGCGAGTTATAACTTACATTCTCCTCTGCCTTCCTTCCTATTTATTGAGAGAACAGCATGAGGTCATCCAATGTCTGCCCCACATTCAACCCCACCTGCTTACTCCTCTTGGCACTGGTGAGCTTGCCATGACAAATGGTTTCCCATAGAACAAAGCTGCTCCTTTTGAAATAAGTTCTGCAATATTCTGCTCTTTGTTCTTGCCATTGTTATGGGTGTTAACAGTTTCATATGTGGTTTTGCCATCTCCAATTTATTTTGGGACACATCAAAAGCATATCAGATATTCTTATATCTAAAGATATAAAGTCATAATGGCTGCCCAGTATCAGACCCAGAACTGAGCGCGGAAAGCAAGTTTTCAAGCTTAGTACCTAACAGGCTGGAGTAATCTGAGAAAATTTCTAGCTGTGTAGGGTTTTTTTTGTTTTGTTTTGTTTTGGTTCCTGGAATCAAATTCAGGACATGGTGCTTGCCAGGCAGGCTTTGTGCCCACCGAGCTAACTCCTCGACCCTATAGATGTGCTCGTGTGGTCGCCTGACTGGACACAGTTCTTGTGACTGCCAGCTGTTTCATCTGTGATCTTTCA